AGAGACATAGAATGAGGGGAGATATCATTGAAGTGTATAAGTGGATGACGGGCATAAACAAAGGAGATATTAATAAAGTACTGAGGGTGTCGAACCATGTAAGAACCAGGAATAATGGATTTAAGTTGGATAAATTTAGATTTAGAAAGGACGTAGGTAAGTACTGGTTTTCTAACAGAGTTGTGGATACACAGAACAATCTTCCCAGTTGGTTGATCGAGGCTAGGACTTTGGGCAGCTTTAAAAAGAGATTGGACAAATATATGAGTGGGATGGGCTGGGTTTGATTTGTCATTGGGTACGGGAGTAAATTCTTGGGTAGCTTTGGGTAGAGGTCATTTTGATAAGGACCTGCCTTGTATGGGCCAGTAGGCCTTCTGCAGTGTTCCTCCATTCTTATGTTCTTAGGCAACTGTGTTTTGAAACATTTCGCCTACACAGTAGGCTTCTTCAGTCGAGTACAGAAAATAGGCAGGAGCAGTAAACATGTGAAGACGATGTAATCAGACCATCACCCTTGAAGTCGTAGATTTGAGGTTGTCAGTTCCTCAGCCTGGACTGGATTTTTAAGGACCTGCCTAGTATGGGCCAGCAGGCCTACTGCATTGTTCCTCCTTTCTTATGTTCTTATAAGCATACTAGGCAGACTGTTGCACTCATCAACATAACATAAGAGAGGAGGAACACTGCAGTAGGCCTGTTGGCCTATACTTGGCAGGTCCTTCACAAATCCAACCCACTAACAGAATAAATGCTTCCCAAGCAATAAGCTTTGATAATTCTATCTACTCGTGTCCAAGTTCCACTCAAATCCAACCCCTCTCACTCGTGTATTTTTTTTTTTTTTTTTTTTTTTTTTTCAACAAGTCGGCCGTCTCCCACCGAGGCAGGGTGACCCAAAAAAAAAAGAAAGAAAATCCCCAAAAAGAAAATACTTTCATCATCGTGTATTTATCCAACCTAAATTTGAAACTACACAAGATTTTAGCTCTGATTGGACCTTAGGTAGCTTTAAAAAAGAGACTGGACAAATATATGGGTGGGAGGAGCATGTATGTATATACAATACATATTTTACGGGTGAGATATAAGCGACTATTGGCAGAAAGGTGGGCTAGTGCAAAGATGAGTAGTGGGGGGGTTGAAGAGGGTTGGAATAGTTTTAAAAATGCAGTATTAGAATGTGGGGCAGAAGTTTGTGGTTATAGGAGGGTGGGGGCAGGAGGAAAGAGGAGTGATTGGTGGAATGATGAAGTAAAGGGTGTGATAAAAGAGAAAAAGGTAGCTTATGAGAGGTTTTTACAAAGCAGAAGTGTTATAAGAAGAGCAGAGTATATGGAGAGTAAAAGAAAGGTACAGAGAGTGGTGAGAGAGTGCAAAAGGAGAGCAGATGATAGAGTGGAGAGGCACTAGTCAAGAAATTTTAATGAAAATAAGAAAAAATTTTGGAGTGAGTTAAAACAAGTTAAGAAAGCCTAGGGAAAATATGGATTTGTCAGTTAAAAACAGGGTAGGGGAGTTAGTAGATGGGGAGATGGAGGTATTGGGTAGATGGCGAGAATATTTTGAGGAACTTTTAAATGTTAAGGAAGAAACAGAGGCAGTAATTTCATGCACTGGTCAGGGAGGTATACCATCTTTTAGGAGTGAAGAAGAGCAGAATGTAAGTGTGGGGGAGGTACGTGAGGCATTACGTAAAATGAAAGGGGGTAAAGCAGCTGGAACTGATGGGATCATGACAGAAATGTTAAAAGCAGGGGGAGATATAGTGTTGGAGTGGTTGGTACTTTTGTTTAATAAAAGTATGAAAGAGGGGAAGGTACCTAGGGATTGGCGGAGAGCATGTATAGTCCCTTTATTTAAAGGGAAAGGGGACAAAAGAGAGTGTAAAAATTATAGAGGAATAAGCTTACTGAGTATACCAGGAAAAGTGTACGGTAGGGTTATAATTGAAAGAATTAGAGGTAAGACAGAATGTAGAATTGCGGATGAGCAAGGAGGTTTCAGAGTGGGTAGGGGATGTGTAGATCAAGTGTTTACATTGAAGCATATATGTGAACAGTATTTAGATAAAGGTAGGGAAATTTTTATTGCATTTATGGATTTAGAAAAGGCATATGATAGAGTGGATAGAGGAGCAATGTGGCAGATGTTGCAAGTACATATATGGAATAGGTGGTAAGTTATTAAATGCTGTAAAGAGTTTTTATGAGGATAGTGAGGCTCAGGTTAGGGTGTGTAGAAGAGAGGGAGACTACTTCCCGGTAAAAGTAGGTCTTAGACAGGGATGTGTAATGTCACCATGGTTGTTTAATATATTTATAGATGGGGTTGTAAAGGAAGTAAATGCTAGGGTGTTCGGGAGAGGGGTGGGATTAAATTTTTGGGAATCAAATTCAAAATGGGAATTGACACAGTTACTTTTTGCTGATGATACTGTGCTTATGGGAGATTCTAAAGAAAAATTGCAAAGGTTAGTGGATGAGTTTGGGAATGTGTGTAAAGGTAGAAAGTTGAAAGTGAACATAGAAAAGAGTAAGGTGATGAGGGTGTCAAATGATTTAGATAAAGAAAAATTGGATATCAAATTGGGGAGGAGGAGTATGGAAGAAGTGAATGTTTTCAGATACTTGGGAGTTGACGTGTCGGCGGATGGATTTATGAAGGATGAGGTTAATCATAGAATTGATGAGGGAAAAAAGGTGAGTGGTGCGTTGAGGTATATGTGGAGTCAAAAAACGTTATCTATGGAGGCAAAGAAGGGAATGTATGAAAGTATAGTAGTACCAACACTCTTATATGGGTGTGAAGCTTGGGTGGTAAATGCAGCAGCGAGGAGACGGTTGGAGGCAGTGGAGATGTCCTGTTTAAGGGCAATGTGTGGTGTAAATATTATGCAGAAAATTCGGAGTGTGGAAATTAGGAGAAGGTGTGGAGTTAATAAAAGTATTAGTCAGAGGGCAGAAGAGGGGTTGTTGAGGTGGTTTGGTCATTTAGAGAGAATGGATCAAAGTAGAATGACATGGAAAGCATATAAATCTATAGGGGAAGGAAGGCGGGGTAGGGGTCGTCCTCGAAAGGGTTGGAAAGAGGGGGTAAAGGAGGTTTTGTGGGCAAGGGGCTTGGACTTCCAGCAAGCGTGCGTGAGCATGTTAGATAGGATGGAATGGAGACGAATGGTACTTGGGACCTGACGATCTGTTGAAGTGTGAGCAGGGTAATATTTAGTGAAGGGATTCAGGAAAACCGGTTATTTTCATATAGTCGGACTTGAGTCCTGGAAATGGGAAGTACAATGCCTGCACTTTAAAGGAGGGGTTTGGGATATTGGCAGTTTGGAGGGATATGTTGTGTATCTTTATGTGTGTATGCTTCTAGACTGTTGTATTCTGAGCACCTCTGCAAAAACAGTGATAATGTGCGAGTGTGGTGAAAGTGTTGAATGATGATGAAAGTATTTTCTTTTTGGGGATTTTCTTTCTTTTTTTGGGTCACCCTGCCTCGGTGGGAGACGGCCGACTTGTTGAAAAAAAAAAAAAAAAAATTTACGATGTTTTCACATGTTTTATAATTGTTCATGGTTCAACAGGTTAAGGAAGCAGTATTGTGGGATTCGGCTGGTACATTGAAGGAAGGAGAAGAATATATATATATGTGGTGGTAGGTTAGTAAATAGCAACCGCCCAGGGAGGTACTACCGTCCTGCCAAGTGAGTGTAAAATGGAAACCTGTAATTGTTTTACATGATGGTAAGATTGCTGATGTCTTTTTTCTGTCTCATAAACATGCAAGATTTCAGGTACGTCTTGCTACTTCTACTTACACTTAGGTCACACTACACATACATGTACAAGCATATGTGTACACACCCCTCTGGGTTTTCTTCTATTTTCTTTCTAGTTCTTGTTCTTGTTTATTTCCTCTTATCTCTATGGGGAAGTGGAACAGAATTCTTCCTCCATAAGCCATGCGTGTTGTAAGAGGCAACTAAAATCCCGGGAGCAGTGGGCTAGTAACCCCTTCTCCCATATAAATTACTAAATTTAAAAAGAGAAACTTTAGTTTTTCTTTTTGGGCCACCCTGCCTTGGTGGGATACGGCCAGTTTGTTGAAAAAAAAAAAATACATACATACCTACAGTGGAACCTCTGCTTGCGAGCTCATCCACATGTGAGTTTTTCCAATTACGAGCAGTAGATGGGTTGATTTTTTTGCTTCCATATGCGAGCGAAATTTCCATAAGCAAGCAGATCTCGAGGGTGGCTCCTCGATGCTGGTGAGGGGCTCTTGCTCTTGATCTAGGGAATTGGATCTCATTTGTTTGTTGGACTATCTTATTGAAACTTGGGCAATGTATGTTGGAAAGACGCTTCTTAACATACACCAAAAATGAAAGAAATTGGAGCATAAATAATGGAGTTCACTTCTCAGCAATTAGCCACCCCTTAGCAGTATTTTCGTTTGGTTTTTATGGTTGTATTCTCATTTTTTTGGTCTCATTTGATAGAATGGAAGGTATATTACAGAAATAGATTTGATTTTGATTGCTTTCACGACGGAAGGTACCTTGAAATTGAGCTCAGCGTAGGAATAATGTTCGATTGCTTGGCTGTGTTTAAGAGTAAACAAATGACGTCACTGTCCATTCCAGTATGCAGTCAGGAATGGGTTACCATTATTTATACAATTATTGCAATAAGGCAGTAGCCTGCATAACAGTAAATCTTATATTTTGTGTGAATAAAAATTAGTTAATGGTCCAAATTAGACTGAAACGTCATAAGTCTCATGCTCCTATGTGCAGGTTATTTGTGTATTCCAGTCACAGTATTGTGCTCTTTTTATTTTTCACAGTATTAAAATTATAGTGAAATAGCAAGATAAACTGGTAGTCATCTTAAATTACGAAGTCAAATAGGTTAACAGTTGGCAGTATGATGATGAACACCACCACCACCACCACCATGGCTGAAACAATTCCTACTTTTTTGTCATTACAGAGAATCAGTGTGTTTGAACCCTTTGCTATGAGGGATACAGTACAGCACTTTTGTGAGAAGCACTTGGACAAGATTAAAGCCTACATGCAGAAGATCTTTGTCAAACTTCCTCTGCCTGTACGCTGTGGTATTGAAGGTGAGAAGGCATAAACTTTTCAGAATTGGGATTGTTTTGTGTAATAATTTTGTTGTTTCCCAGTAAAAAAAAGCCATAACAGCAATGGCTGTAGGTTGCTTGGGCTCCTGGAGGGAATAGATTGGAAGTATATCAGAGAAGATAGATAGGAATAATGGTGGATCTTTAATTTCAGGTAGAATGGGCTAGTTATAATGGCAAATTAAAAGACAGTACTCTGTTAATATTTGCTGCTGGCTGGTGTATTACCATACTATGTCTGTGTCTTCCAAACTTGGGTTCGTATGTCAGTAGAAAGGGTTGGAAAGAGGGTGTAAAGATTATAAGTGATAGGGTCTTTAGCATCCATTAGGCATGCCTGTGTTTATTGGAGTAAATGAAGACGTGTTATTTTGGATTTGACATGCTACTTGAGTGTGAGCAAGAGACTATATATGAAGGGATTCTGGGAAACCAGTCAACTGTACTTAAGTTCTGGAGGTGGACAGTATAGTGCCTGCACTCTGAACGATGGCTGGGTATATTGCAGTTTGAAGGATTAGTTGAATTGTGATGGCACGTATTTTTTGTAAGAGCTGTTGAAGAGTAATGCTGAGTGTGATTTCTGAGTCAGCTTACTCTGGTGGTAAAGTATGATAGTTGTGGTAGCCTATAATTGGCCATTACATCAATCGGCAAGGTAGATAGATATGCATGCAGATACAGTGGACCCTCAGTTTTCGTATTTAATCCGTTCCAGAGCGATCGGTGAAAACAGAAATCGGCAAGACTGAAACCATTTTCCCCATAAGAAATAATGTAAATCCAATTAATCCATTCCAGACACCCAGAAGCATTAACAAAAAAAATTTTTTTTACCTTAAAGATAGATTTACATGCACAAAAGAATGAGCATTCAACATGACACTTACCTTTATTGAAGGCTGTTGTTGATGGATGGAAGACAGGAAGAGGGAAGAGAGGTTATTGTTTGGAAGGGGAATCCCCTCCATAAGGACTCTAGGTACCAAGTCCTTATCCGGGGTCACTTCCCTACTTTGTTTTTTAATGCCACTAGGACCAGCTTGAGTTGCTGGACCCCTGTCACACGAAATACCTGTCCAGATAGGTCTGTTTCTGGTGTCTCTTTAGGATTTGCCTAAAATGGGACATAGCATTGTCATTGTAAAAGTTCCCAGCACGGATTGCAACAGCTTTCTCAGGGTGATGTTTCTCCACAGATGAATGCACCCTAGTCCACATTACACAAATCTCCTTAAACTTTGAAGAAGGCACCTTCTATCTCTCTTCCTCTTCTGAAGCAATTTCCTGAGCTGTGATCTGTTGGTGTTGCAGATAAAGCTCTTGCAGCTCATCAGTGGTTAGCTCTTTATTGTGGTCCTCCACCAACTCTTCTACATTCTTGGCACTCGCATCCAACCGTTGATTGCACAACAGGTGTAGGGTCGACAGGGTCAGCCTCAAACCCTTCAAAATCCCTCTTTTGGACACAATCTGGCCATAGTTTTCCCCAAGCAGTTCATCATCCTGAAAGTCACTCCATGCAAGCCTTATCTATAAGGCTTATGCAATGGAAGATATTGAAGTGATTCATCCAGAACTCTCTTAGGGTCCAAAGTTATGTCTAAACACCTTTGAAACATTGCTTTGGTGTACAGTTTTTTGAAGTTTGCAATGATCTGCTGGTCCATGGGCTGGATGAGAGGAGTGGTGTTAGGAGGCAAGAACTTCAGTAATACAAAACTGAATTCCTTAGACAATTGGCCTTCTAAGTATGGAGGATGACAGGACCATTGTTCGTTAACAGGAGGCACTGCAATGGCAATTTATTATCTAGGAGGTATTTTTTCAAACTCGGGCCAAACACTTCATTGAACCATTCCAGGAAAATTTCCCTAGTGACCCATGCCCTACTGTTAGCCTTCCACATCATACACAATTTACTCTTGATGACACTGTTTTTCTTGAAAACACTGGGATTTTCAGTGATACGCAAGTAAAGGCTTCACTTTGAAATCCCCACCAGCATTACCACACAACAAAAGAGTTAGCCTGTCTTTCATAGGCTTGTGTCCTGGGACTGCCTTTTCCTCCTGAGTGATGTAGGTCTTCTTTGGCATTTTCTTCCAAAACAGGCCTGTTTCGTCACAATTGAACACTTGTTTGGGGACGAATCCTTCAGCCTGTACATAGTATTTGAATTCCCGCACAAATTTTTCAGCCGCATGTTTGTCTGAACTGGCATCCTCACCATGCCTTTCAACACCGTGTATGCCACTTTGCTTCTTGAATTTTTTGAACCAGCCTTTGCTAGCCTTAAATTCACCAACATCAGCACTCGTTGCAGGCATTTTCTTTGAGATTGTTATGCAACTGCCTTGCCTTTTCACAAATTATCAACTGCACAACACTATCTCCTGCTAGCCCTTTCTCTCTGATCCACACCAACAACAATTTCTTCACTTCTTCAATTGTTTGGGATCTCTGTTTTATTTCATTCACCCCTTTCACAACATCAGCTTCCATGATTTCTTTTCTCTTTGCCACAGTGGAGCTGATGGTTGATGGTGCCTTCCCATACATCCTGCCTAGTTCAGCAATGCATATGCCACTATCATATTTTTTAACGATTTCTTTTTTCATTTCTACAGTGTTCCTCACTTTCTTTACCAAAGGACTGGCACTAGGAGCTTTCTTTGGGGCCATGGTGGCTTATTTAGCAGTCACACACAATAAAAAGTGCCAAAAACAAAGGATTACATGTATTACGAAATGTTTCGTATGACCTGGCAGGATATGTTCACTCGCCAAGAAACAACGCGACACTGCCTGAGTGTGTGGGAGACAGCTTTGTCTGCGTGCTGGGCACTGGACAGGTTCCATACCATCGATGAAAATGGAGGAAATTGACAGACGGAACCAATATTTTGACGAAAAAATTCGGCAATAACGGAGATCGATGAAAAGGGAGGGTCCATTGTACTGTATCATTGTGACTTTTGAAGGAACATTATTATTGGTAATATTTCATGTAAATGTTAATAAATGATAATTTTTTATTATACTTGGCATGTCAGCTAGAAATATATTTTAAAAGTAGAAAACAGAAGTGAGCAGACGAGAGCACTAGCAACTCTTCATAACACATCTCTCACAGAAAATTGTTTTCATGGTACAACAAAATTGTTTGGAAAATAGTAGTACCATTATTTATCATAGTCTTTAAGTCAAATTCATGCATATAATTTTATATAAGAAGTATCCTTAAATCTCCACTGAAGGATGAGGTTAATCATAGAATTGATGAAGGAAAAAAGGTGAGTGGTGCGTTGAGGTATATGTGGAGTCAAAAAACGTTATCTATGGAAGGGAATGTATGAAAGTATAGTAGTACCAACACTCTTGTATGGGTGTGAAGCTTGGGTTGTGAATGCAGCAGCGAGGAGGCGGTTGGAGGCAGTGGAGATGTCCTGTCTAAGGGCAATGTGTGGTGTAAATATTATGCAGAAAATTCGGAGTGTGGAAATTAGGAGAAGGTGTGGAGTTAATAAAAGTATTAGTCAGAGGGCTGAAGAGGGGTTATTGAGGTGGTTTGGTCATTTAGAGAGAATGGATCAAAGTAGAATGACATGGAGAGCATTTAAATCTGTAGGAGAAGGAAGGCGGGGTAGGGGTCGTCCTCGAAAAGGTTGGAAGGAAGGGGTAAGGGAGGTTTTGTGGGCGAGGGGCTTGGACTTCCAGCAGGCGTGCATGAGCGTGTTCGATAGGAGTGAATGGAGACGAATGGTATTTGGGACCTGACGATCTGTTGGAGTGTGAGCAGGGTAATATTTAGTGAAGGGATTCAGGGAAACCGGTTATTTGTATATAGCCGAACTTGAGTCCTGGAAATGGGAAGTACAATGCCTGCACTCTAAAGGAGGGGTTTTGGGATATTAGCAGTTTGGAGGGATATGTTTTGTATCTTTAAAGGTATATGCTTCTAAACTGTTGTGTTCTGAGCACCTCTGCAAAAGCAGTGATTATGTGTGAGTGAGGTGAAAGTGTTGAATGATGATGAAAGTATTTTCTTTTTGGGGATTTTCTTTCTTTTTGGGTCACCCTGCCTCGGTGGGAGATGGCCAACTTGTTGACAAAAAAAAATTTTTTTTAATTTTCCACTTGGAAAAATAAGAAACTTTGCAAAATTTTGTTTTAGGGCATGATAATTATAACAGTGCAGACAGTTTAGAGCACAGTGGACCCCCGAGTTTCGTGAGCCTTGCGCTTCATGAATTTCGACTTTCGGCAACTTTTTTCATCAAAATCAAGCCTCGCGGTTCATGATTTGCCTTGTGATTCATCCGTCGTACAAAACGTCTGTGAGGCTGGGCATACACAAAGGCTCCCACACAACATTCAGGAGTCAGTGTGGCATTGTCTGTGGATGAGTGACCACCAGGTACTTTACCACACAAACAGTCCCCACACAAACAAGCCAGGCTACTTCCCCACACACACGGTTTGATTTGAATGGGACTTGCGCATGAGTTAATAGAATTATTAAAGCTTATTGCTTGGGTAGCATTGAAAATTGGGTTGGACAAATATTCTGTTAGTGGGATGGTTTGTGAAGGACTTGCCTAGTATGGGCCAACAAGTCTGTTGCAGTGTTCCTGCTTTCTTAAGTACACCAGCCAGGGTACTTCCCCACACACACCATTTGATTTCAGTGGGACTTGCATATGAGTGAATAGAATTATCAAAGCTTATTGCATGGGTAGCATTGAAAATTGGGTTGGACGTATATTCTATTAGTGGGATGGTTTGTGAAGGACCTGCCTAGTATGGGCCAACAGGTCTGCTGCAGTGTTCCTGCTTTCTTATGTTCCATACACCAACAAGAGTCTTCAATAAAGATAAGTGTGATGTTGTTATTGTTTTATACTTGATTTCTCATTCTTTTCTGTATGTAAATCTATATTAACTCTTTGAGGGTCGGTCACGTACAAGTACGTCAT